AGTGGAGCCCGGGAGAGCGAGCTCTACTGGGAAGCGAAGGGAAACTGAGAAAAATTATGAGATCTACGGTCCGGAAAACTTGAAACAAATTCCCAAGGCCCCCAGCAGGGCGCGCAGAAACAAGAACTGGACACCGTGGAGGGGTCGACCCCCTCCAAAACGGAAAAAGGGAAACGGTCCTTATGGGAGGAACCGGTAACGTAGAAGTACCGGCCTCCCCAGCAAGGATGAATGGAGAATGAATGAATGTGAAAGAAGGCGACCGACAAACTCTGGACCTTGGAAGTGCTCGGGGCGGATGCGGTTGGACGAACACCGCACAAAGATGCCAGCAGAACAGCAAGGCCGAATGAAGACGTTGCCAGCAAAACACCGCGGCATCGAAAACGAGGGAGAACCTTTAGGCTTTTCGGGGACGAACAACCTTTAGAAGGGAGCAATGTAACGTGTTTGCAATCCAGAAGAGTCACTGCAATCCAGAAGCCGGTACTTCTACGTTACCGGTTCCTCCCATAAGGGCCGTTTCCCTTTTTCCGTTTTGGAGGGGGTCGACCCCTCCACAGTGTCCAGTTCTTGTTTCTCCGCGCCCTGCTGGGGGCCTTGGGAATTTGTTTCAAGTTTTCCGGACCGTAGATCTCATATAATTTTTCTGTTTCCCTTCGCTTCCCAGTAGAGCTCGCTCTCCCGGGCTCCACTTCCAGATGCCGTCCGTCGTTGTCCTCTTCTTCCTCCCGTGTAGTGACTCCTTGCCGCGTCGATACTTTGTGCCTTTATAGTGCGTCCTTAAATCCTTCTTGGGCGGCCATTCTCTCCGCGTTGCTCGCTCATTCGTGGTCCCGATGCGGTTACTCCTACCCACGCTTTTCTTGCGCCAGGCAATTCTTGGACGGGACGTCTTTCTGCCGGTCTCCTTTGTCTGCCGTGCCACTTTCGCACGGAGGCTCGTCCCTCTGTGGGCGACGGCCAATTGCTTCCGCTGGCATCCGAAGGTTCCCTGGGGAGTGTCCTTCTTGAAGGCATTTCTCCAACGTCGTGCCACTGCCGCGCGACGGGATGTCGTTTCTATTGGTGTCGGCTCTTCTTCTGGATGTGCCTCCATTTCCCGGTAGGTAGTCATCTC